TGGTGGGATGTAAACAGAAGTTATCCATAAAGGGAGATATGGTATGATAAGTCCAGCCAGTGTTTCATTACAAAGCCAACATAAAAGTGGCATCGTCATACATTAGCTTAGCAGTCTAACATTATAAAAAGATCTTTTTCAGTAATTTCACCTTACACAAAGGCGAGGCTCTGTCTTTCTCTAATTCTGAAATATTTAACCTTCTTAGATTAGAATCTTGTTTTATTCTATGCTTCTAGCATAAAATTTCCAACAACTACCTATTTTTTCTATACCAATGCTAACATTTTAGTGACTTTATTCAACATGTTTTTGTGGCTTAGACTATATCCAGGTAAAGTTAGATAAGTTTTAGTGGTTTTGCAGATCACTTTATTATTATCTGTATTTTAGAATCCCAACTCACATAAATTGATAGCTACTGCTCATAGTTGACTATTTCTAACAAACTAATTTTACTAAATGCCTAAAATTAGCATCCCTGTAACGCTGGCTGACTCACTGTGGGTTGCGGTGCTGACACTGGCTTGTTTCCCATGTGCACAATCCACACACCCCGCTACCTCGGACCACCCTGCACCCCATTACACATCCATATCGACCCACCAGCTCTCCAGTCGCTGTCCCAACTCTGTCCTGTCTCCTTCCCTACGCCATCCTCCCTCTCTTCTCCTCCCCGTGGAATGCTATCGTGTATATCCGTGTGTGTGTGTTTGTGTGTGTGTGTGTGTGTGTGTGTGTGTGTGTGTGTGTGTGTGTGTGTGTGTGTGTGTGTGTGTGTGTGTGTCAGTGGTGGAGCCAGGCTGGCTGTGTGGGCGGCTGTGTGTTTCCAAACAGTGGAATCTGTCACTGACACTCCTGGAAGAGCAATAAGCAGCTTCTTAATGAGCGCAGCAGATCACTCAGCATGCACACACTCACACATGTGCACAAATGTACAAATACACACACATTTAATGTGTGCATATTGGTACAAGAGTCAAATGTTGGCTAAATGCACCAATGACCTGCCCAATATTCAACATACGCTCAATGCATCGGCTTGAATTTCTCTTACATGGACAAGCACCATCTTACATTGGTGATCTTTTTAGTCCCTACACCCCCAGCAGGTCCCTGAGGTCCAGTGATCAAAGACTACTGGTTGTGCGGCACCAGGCTAAAGACCAAAGGTGACAGATAATTTGCTGCTGTGGCCCCCAGACTCTGGAACTCTCTCCCCCTGAGCCTGAGATCAGTGGACTCAGTGGTCTCCTTCAAAAAGCAGCTGAAGTCTCACTTGTTCAAGCTGGCTTTTGTATGACCTTCTTCACCACTCTCTCTTTATTTTACTCTCCCCACCTATTCCACCTTCCTCAGGATCCACTGATTTCCCTCTTTCCTATTCACTCTCTCTTTCTTAACATTTTTTTAATCACAATTGTCTATTTTTTGCTCATTTTAAATATATTTTTAACCATTTTCTAAATTATTTATATTTTTACATTTTTTGTTTTTGTGAAGCGCCTTGAGATTTTTATCTTGAGAGGTGCTATGTAAAGACTTCTTCTTCTTCTTCTTCTTCTTCTTCTTCTTCTTCTTCTTCTTCTTCTTCTTCTTCTTCTTCGTCATCGTCGTCTTCCTCCGCTTATCCGGGTCCGGGTCGCGGGGGCAGCATCCCAACTAGGGAGCTCCAGGCCGTCCTCTCCCCGGCCTTGTCCACCAGCTCCTCCGGCAGGACCCCAAGGCGTTCCCGGACCAGATTGGAGATGTAACTTCTCCAACGTGTCCTGGGTCGACCCGGGGGCCTTCTGCCGGCAGGACATGCCCGAAACACCTCCCCGGGGAGGCGTCCAGGAGGCATCCTGACCAGATGCCCAAACCACCTCAACTGGCTCCTTTCGATCCGGAGGAGCAGCGGTTCTACTCCGAGTCCCTCCCGAATGTCCGAGCTCCTCACCCTATCTCTAAGGCTGAGCCCGGCCACCCTACGGAGGAAACTCATTTCGGCCGCTTGTATCCGCGATCTCGTTCTTTCGGTCATTACCCAAAGCTCATGACCATAGGTGAGGATTGGGACGTAGATCGACCGGTAAATCGAGAGCCTGGCTTTCTGGCTCAGCTCCCTCTTCCCCACGACAGATCGGCTCAGCGTCCGCATCACTGCAGACGCCGAACCAATCCGCCTGTCGATCTCCCGATCCCTCCTACCCTCACTCGTGAACAAGACCCCGAGATACTTAAACTCCTCCACTTGAGGTAGGACCTCTCCCCCGACCCGGAGGTGGCAAGCCACCCTTTTCCGGTCGAGAACCATGGTCTCAGATTTGGAGGTGCTGATCCTCATCCCAGCCGCTTCACATTCGGCCGCGAACCTACCCAGCAAGAGCTGAAGGTCAGAGCTGGATGAAGCTAGGAGGACCACATCATCCGCAAAAAGCAGAGACGAGATTCTCCTGCCACCAAACTCGACACACTCCACACCACGGCTGCGTCTAGAAATTCTGTCCATAAAAGTGATGAACAGAACCGGTGACAAAGGGCAGCCCTGGCGGAGTCCAACCCTCACTGGGAACAGGTCCGACTTACTACCGGCTATGCGGACCAAACTCACGCTCCTCTTGTAAAGGGACTGAATGGCCCTTAACAGAAAGCCACCCACCCCATACTCCTGGAGCGTCCCCCACAGGGTGCCCCTGGGGACACGGTCATAAGCCTTCTCCAAATCCACAAAGCACATGTGGATTGGTTGGGCAAACTCCCATGCCCCCTCCATCACCCTTGCAAGGGTATAGAGCTGGTCCACAGTTCCACGGCCAGGACGAAAACCACATTGCTCCTCCTCTATCTGAGATTCAACTATCGATCGGACCCTCCTCTCCAGTACCTTGGCGTAGACCTTTCCAGGGAGGCTGAGGAGTGTGATCCCCCTATAGTTGGAACACACCCTCAGGTCACCCTTCTTAAAGATGGGGACCACCACCCCGGTCTGCCACTCCCTAGGAACTGCCCCCGATGACCACGCAATGTTGTAGAGACGTGTCAACCATGACAGCCCTACAACATCCATAGCCTTGAGATACCCAGGACGAACCTCATCCGCCCCCGGGGCTCCGCCGCTGTGTAGTTGTTTGACTACCTCAGCAACTTCTGCCCCCGAGATCGGACAGTCCATCCCCAGGCCTCCCAGCTCTGGTTCCTCCTCGGAATGCGCATTGGTGGGATTGAGGAGCTCCTCAAAGTATTCCTTCCACCGTCCGACTATAGCCTCAGTTGACGTCAGCAGCTCCCCATCCCCACTGTAAACAGTGTGAGCGAGTTGCTGCCTTCCTCTCCTGAGGCGCCGGACAGTTTGCCAGAACCTCTTTGGAGCCGATCGATAGTCTTTCTCCATGGCCTCACCAAACTCCTCCCACGCCCGAGATTTTGCCTCGGCAACTGCCACTGCTGCACCCCGCTTGGCTATCTGGTACCTGTCTGCTGCCTCCGGAGACCCACAGACCAGCCACGCCCTGTAGGCCTCCTTCTTCAGCCTGACGGCTCCCCGAACCTCTGGTGTCCACCAGCGGGTACGGGGGTTGCCACCACGACTGGCACCGGCCACCTTACGACCACAGCTAGCAACAGCCGCCTCGACAATCGCAGAGTGGAACAAGGCCCACTCGGACTCAATGTCCCCCACTGCTCTCGGGACGTGGTCAAAGCTCTGCCGGAGGTGGGAGTTGAAGACCGTCTTGACAGGTTCTTCTGCCAGGCGTTCCCAGCAGACCCTCACTATGCGTTTGGGTCTGCCAGGTCTACGCGGCATGTTCCCTTGCCATCTGATCCAACTCACCACCAGGTGGTGATCAGTTGACAGCTCCGCCCCTCTCTTCACTCGGGTGTCCAAAACATACGGCCGCAGGTCAGATGATACGACTACAAAATCTATCATCGACCTGTGACCTAGGCTGCCCTGGTACCAAGTGTACCGGTGGGCATCCTTATGTTCGAACATGGTGTTCGTTATGGCCAAACTGCGGCTTGCACAGAAGTCCAATAACAAAACACCGCTCGAGTTCTGATCAGGTGGGCCGTTCCTCCCAATCACACCCCTCCAGGTCAAGCTGTCATTGCCCACGTGAGCATTGAAGTCCCCCAGCAGGACAATGGAGTCCCCTGATGGAGCACTATCTAGCACTCGTCCCAGGGACTCCAAAAAGGGTGGGTACTCTGAACTGATATTTGGCCCATAAGCACAAACAACAGTCAGGACCCGTTCCCCGACCCGAAGGCGCAAGGAAGCTACCCTCTTGTCCCCCGGGGTAAACCCCAACACACAGGCAGAGAATCTCGGGGCTAACAAAAAGCCAACCCCAGCCCTCCGCCTCTCACCCGGAGCAACTCCAGCAAAGTAGAGTGTCCAACCCCTCTCCAGGTCTCGGGTTCCAGAGCCAATGCAATGTGTCGAGGTGAGTCCGACTATATCTAGCCGGTACCGCTCAACCTCTGCCACAAGCTCCGGCTCCTTCCCCACCAGCGAGGTGACGTTCCATGTCCCAAAAACTAGTTTCCTTGTCCGGGGATTGGACCGCCAAGGCTCCCGCCTTGGTCTGCCACCCGATTCACATTGCACCGGACCCTTCATGTTCCTCCTGCGGGTGGTGAGTCCACAGTTGGACGAGCCCATGTATCCGGTTCGGGCTGGGCCCGGCCGGGCCCCATGGGCGAAAGCCCGGCCACCAGGCGCTCGCTCACGGGCCCCAACCCCAGGCCTGGCTCCAGGGTGGGACCCCGGTAACCCTCCGGGCCGGGTACTCCGACTCTTCGTTTTCACCGCCATGAAAGATCCTTCGAACCGTTCTTTGTCTCACCCTTCACCTAAGACCAATTTGTCATGGGAGACCCTACCAGGGGCACTAAGTGCCCCAGACAACATAGCTCCTAGGATCATTAGGGCACTCAAACTCCTCCACCACGATAAGGTGACGGTTCAAGGAGGAGTGACGGTTCTTCTTCTTCTTCTTCTTCTTATTTGCCTGAAATCTTTTTTCCCAGGTTTTCTGATGTAAACCCGTGCATGTGCTCCTGATCCCACCCTGGGACAACATTATGCATTTATTTGGACAAACGTTGGAGCTAAAAAAAGATTTTGGGCAGCTTACCATTGTTGCTGACCGTTTCCAGACAAGAGCAATCACTCAGCGACTTGACCGTTTTAGATCGAATTAGAATGGAAAACCACCATCGATATTTCTTGATTATGGTTCATTTGTACTTATTAGTGCTGGCTTGGTCCCCAATTTGTCTTTTTTTACCCAAATGGCTCAAAGGTTTCCAATTGTTGACCAGCTGCTCTTGAAATCAAATCACACTCGCTCCATATTCAGATCTTCCTCCTCGAAGACAGCTGCCGTGTTATGATTAACACGATTACCCTCTTTTTGCATGACATTTTGGTAATATGTGCAATAATCAGGCATCATGAATCTTTCCAAGTTTTACGATGACAAATGGGAACAGGGCCGCTAGCGTTGAGAGACATCTGATAACTCGGACGTGACAAGACACGTCTGGGGTTTTACTGGTGGCTCTTAAATCAGGATTTTGGCTGATGATGGCTGTTAAAACTTCCCCATCTCGACTCCATCATACTCTTTTTTCTGATTTTCTCACACATGTAGTGTCATTGCTCGTTTAGCACATCAGTGACAGTGAGTGTGGGGCTCCAAGTCAGCCTTGTCCTTTCTTTACCCTCTTTAACTGAGCACTCCTGTCACCGAGACCCTTTTAATTCCCCCTTTTCACCCTTCTGATGCCTGCCTCCTCTCGCACTGGTCCTCTTGGGGAGCAGACAATAGAAGGTGCCCCCCTCCTCTCCCTTTCCTTCCTTCCCTGTGCCCCCCCAACCACCCCACCCCCTCATGGTGTCCCTCGGCTCATGTAGGCGTCCTGCCTGGTTGAGGCTGAGGGCTCCAAGCTGCAGTTTGTCACAGCCATTCAGCTGAGACTGATTGTGATTGTGGCAGATGGGCTAAAGCCCATCAGCTCCTCGGTCCAGGCAGACCCAAGCACTTCTCTCTTTCTTCTCCAGCTTTTATTTATTCTCCAGCCTCCGCTCTCTTGATCTCGACCTCTTCCTCGGTTGTCCCTATCTGTCCCTCTTCAGTGCCTTCTTTTTGTGTTGATTCCCCGAATGCTCAGTCCAGTTGTTGCAGAGAGCAGCTTTCGAATAGGTGCTTGTCAGATCTTTTAAGAGATGAAACCGCATCACCTGTCTAGTAACATTTGGGACAATTCCATCATTGTGTGCCCTTAACTTGGTGCACAGTGTATTTTCGTCCAAATTAAACTTGGGATGGGGGATTCCCCCATCCTGTTATGGAACTGGTAGCCAAAGAAATGAACATTTGGACAACAGTCATGGTGGGTTCCAAAATATCTTTGCAATGTTTTTAATTTCCTTCAGCTGTAGGGTAGTTTAAGCTCTTGATTAACTGGTGGATCTTCATTCCAACCCAACCTACAGTCATGAGCTTTGGGTAATTGCTGGCAGAACAAGATTTTAGAGCACAGTTGACCAAACTATAGTGTCCAAACTCAGTCTAAGAAAGAGAGTGATTTATTTAGATGTCTGTGAATGGCTCAAAGTAGAACCACTCATCCTTCATATCAAGATGATCCAACGTAGGTGTTTTGAGCATATCCATGGACACGCTAGAGGGATTACACCTGCAGGCCAACCTGAGAACGTCTTGGGATCCCAGCAAATGACTTGCAGGAATGTCGAACAAGTTCAAAACATTTACAAACATTCTTTCAAAATTGAGTTTTTGAACTGTACTTAATTGTATCCAACTATATATTTTCCCATGCATTTTGTATTTGGGCTGGTTGTTAAAGCTCAGTGCAACACTAGCTTAACCCCTCCAAAGTGATTTTGATTGTTGACCATTTCCGCTAAAATACATAAATAGTAAATGGTCTGTATTTCTATAGTGCCTTCTTAGGGTTCTACAACCCCCCAAGGCGCTTCACAACACAATCAGTCATTCACCCATTCACACACACATACATACACTGGTGGTGATGAGCTACGATGTAGCCACAGCTGCCCTGGGCGCACTGACAGAGGCAAGGCTGCCGAGCACTGGCGCCACCGGTCTCTCCGACCATCACCAGCAGGCAAGGTGGGTTAAGTGTCTTGCCCAAGGACACAACAGCAGCATTCTCTGGTCGGAGCCGGGATCAAACCTGCAACCTTCCAATTACTGGCCAACCTGCTCTACATCCTCCATTCAAAATAATGGATGCAGTCTCCAAGGTTGATTGGTTGTCATCAGTCGTTTCTCTTTTTCCCAAGATAACAGAAATTTGGGGAAAGATTTTGCTTTGTGCCAATTTCAAGGCTAACTGGGTTAACAAAAGGTGCAAAAGTACTCTTTTGATAATGTTTAGATAAAAAGACTAAACAATTTGTGGAAAATCAGATCTAAAGAATCTAAAGAAAAGTTGTAAAAGTCTTCCAAAGTCCCAAAAACCTTCATATATAAACCATTTTAAAAGATTATGAAATGTTTTTGTTTTTTACGGCTTTAACAAAAACTAACAAACTGAGAAAGAAGCTGAACAAAAGTCAGAAAATCATGTGCCCATGCAGCATAAAATTGTTCCAAGAAAGAAAATGGGAACAAAGCTGCACGGAATGCAGAACAGGAAACAAAGCAACCTGCGAAAAAAGCAGAAGTGGAACTTTGAAGACGTACAAAAACATTTTGACCAACATTTTTAAACTTCTCTTTTCACAAGTCTTTCCGAGGCTTGAGTCGAGGCTCGCGTACAATTATGAATCCATGGTGTCAAAGTCCGAGTCTTTTGTGACTTTTTAAAGTCAGGTCTAAATTCATAAAAAAATATAAATCCAGTCATTTGATATCAGATTCAGTAGACGTAAACAGAAAATGTGCAAAAAGTTGCCCAAATTATGCATATATTTGTACTTCAATTCATGTTAAAAGCTTTCAAATTTCAATTTAGTTGAACTTTGATCATCCTTTGATAAATGAGTTGTTAAAGGATTTTAATACCCAGATTTTTTTTTTCTGGGGGGTTTATGTTGGTCTTGAAGTCAACAACAAAGGGTGTAATACCCTAAATGTGTGTCTATCCCAACACGGTCCAATGCCCTTTCTTTCTCATTTCCTGCACTGAAAGAGCCCAGTTAGTGGAACATCACAAGCTGGCTTCTGCTTGCCTCTTCACGTCCCCTTGTTGGAGTTAAATCCCCTCCTTTAACACCGCTGTCACCCCTCAAAAAACTCCTCCTTCTTGGTGCTAACCCCCCACCCCAACCTCATTACCCTCCCCAGAGAGGAAAGCCACCTTCAGAGGGGGACAGCCAGGCAGCAGCTCTATGCCTGAACACATGTTAGACGTCCCGTATGCTCATAGAGGAGGAGTGAGAGAGGAACAGTCAGAGGAGAGGAGAGATAAAGCAAGTTGGCTGGATGGGCGGGTGAGGGGAAAGGCAAAGAGGGAGTGTCTACATTGCATGAGAGGAGAGTCGATGCATGTTGCCAGATTGAGAGAGACAAGGGAGGGCAGAGGACGGGAGCGACGAGGAGAGGGAGAAGGCGAGGCAGATTGTGGATGTAAACTTTATCATCTGCGGGATCAGTGGGTAGCAGCTGCAGAGCAGGAGGGAAGCGTGCTGGTGGATTACCATGCGTGTCCTCTGAATGCACCAGGATGCTGCATCTCCATCAGGGTAAGCATAGGCTGTCATCGGCATACACGGCATGACAAAACTGCGTTATCTTTTGAGCAACAGCCAAATCTTATTGTCGCGCTGATTGATGCTTCTCTGTTAGAGGAATACAGAGAGGTCTAAGGAGGAAGCATGTTCCCTTATTTGTGCACTTCAGCTGCGGATGATCTCAATTAGCTGTTTGCAAGGGGGTTCGCTTGTCCTGTTGCTAGTGGCAACAGCATGGGGCACACTACTTTGTTTCTGATTGATTATGAAAGGAAAAGTGATCTTTTAAGGGGAACAATCCATCACTAGATGGATGCATGTTTCCCTTTAGTTTCCTTTTCACACTCGCTCCAATACAGATTAAGTTTTTCAGAGACTAATCCCAGACAGAGATGACAGTTGCTGAACTGGGTGTGGATCCAGTTAAATGCTTGGGAATGTAGATTATGGGCTCTTTAATTTTTTTTTCATGAATGTGGTGTGAAACTCCATGCGCCGGGGAAATCTCTACCTCAGCTGGTGGGGATGCTAGAGCAACAAGAAGTCTTAGTGAGGGATCCTAGACTCCGGCTTGGTATCTTTGGCCGCCGTTGTTATCTCTAAAAACAGAACTTGCAAGGGAGCGAAGAAATGAGAGCATGGGAGAGTATGGGAGGCATCAGGAGTCTAAGGCTGGTGTCATGCCAGGCAGAAATGCTATTCTCTATCTTTTCTGAGTTAGAGTTGATTTTTTGTGCCCTTGGAAATGATGCTTCCCATCACAAGAGCAGAAAATAGCAACTTCTATGTAGTGGATATAGCTGTAGAGGCCAAATGGGCCATGTTCGGTACAAGTCTGCCAACTGGAATCATCTATAGACTGTTTCCCAAGAGGGTACGTCATAATTCTCAGCAGTGATTCTATGTGATGGTTATTGCATTGTCCTAAAACTAAAGTCTGCTACTTTCAAGTGTTCTTGTCTTTTTAGACCAAACCTATTATCTCACTAGACATCTACAAATGGGAATGTCATTTGTAGGAGTCACTAAGCTGTCATCAAGGTTCACAATTTCTTCATCTCGATTTTGTGTCACTGGAATTTAGATCAAGTTATTAAGTACAGAAGATCATCCCAAAATGGTCACAGAACTGCCTTGGACATCTGGAACAGGTGTGTTTGGTTTAGTGTCTATGAATCAAAACGTGAATGTAAACAACTTTAGAAGTGGTCAGTGACTGGTGAGGCTAGCTCTTTCCACCCGATGTGAAAGTGACACCAAAATCTACTATGCGGCAATTAGCCGTTTTATATTACATTATATTGGCCGGGTTCCTGTCCACCAAATGTGAAAGTGTTGCAAAACGACTGCTAAATATACTTTGTGGCAATTAGCTGACACTGTAGGAGATGGGTTACTTTCCCCCGGCGGCAAAGTATAACATTTTAGATGCTATCATTACGTTTTGAGTTTATTTTTATGCGCTACGCTTCCAAAACACGTCAGAATCCACAGTTTATATTGGTCCAGACTAAAATAAAAAGTAAAAGCAGTGTATAACATCCAGAAACATTCAAAATAAAAGTCACGTGCAAATAGACATACGTCATTTCCTGTGAAACCCTCGTAGCCGATGTAAACAGAACGGAAAAAAAACCAACAGTCCTTTTTGGAGGTCTTCCTCCTTGCTTGTAATGGTGTGGATGTCTGATTTGTGGCCAGCAGAGTGGAACACTTTCGCTCCTGTTTAGTATCTAAAACGCTCCTGGTCGGAAGGGAGCTCGTGGGCAAAACTCCTCTAATATGTTGGATGTCGCTTTCACGTTCGGTGGAAAGCAGGGGTTAGTTGTGACTGGAGACAAAATCGAAAAAATATCTAAAATTTCTGGTGCAACAAAACAAATAAGCAAAATCCTATTTAAGATACTCTGACAGAATTGCAACAACCCAGTGAGATATAAAGCCAAGGTAAAACATTTGTGTACAAGCGTACATGTGTACCATTTGCAATATTTCATGACTGAAACCACAGTAATCAGTGCAGACCAGGCACCTCTTCTGTTGCTTTAAAACTGTTTTTCCAGGATGGATGCAGGATCAACACCACACTAGACTTTTTGAACCAAAGTCTGTCTGATGTTTGTTCTTTATCTTCTTTTATTGAGGAAATGTTTCTCTTTGTCTGGATGTGGGGTGTGGGACTTCAAAATCCAGCCACTTGGGGCATCTAGGTCCTGAGTTCCAGACAGATGCTTTGCTAATGTCTACAAGAGTCGATGATGGAATCGGTTTGAATTGAAACAAAATCTTGTTTTTTAGAAGGTTGCCTGAAGCTTCTGAGTAGGCCCAAGAACTAAAGTGTAATGGGTGATAATTGAAAAACTCATCTTCCGATGCTAGAGGTGGATAATGATGGCTAATAATAACAAAAATGCTGGAAACAAAAGGCAAAATGTCATTCAAGGTCATAGCAAGCTGGTGGCCGACGCACCACCCTAGCAATCCAGTAAACTGCCTCTACCTGGTCATTTCAAAGCAGATTACAAGGTGTAGAGTGTTGCTTTAATCCTGAATACAAACAAACCAGGTGACTTTTACACCCACATTGCCTCCATATTTCCCACTTGCTCCAGTTTCCACCAGTAGATACCAACTAATCTGCAATCTATCCATGCATCATAATCTTCAGCTGAGACGGGTTCCAGTGAAGCCCATCCAAATAGAGCATTTAATGCATTTACACAAGCAATTTTAGACTTGCTCCAGTTTCTGTTCTGGCAGTCTTTATTTGGAGCAAATCAGCAGGACGGTGATATCATCCAGTCACCAGGGCAGATGTGTCGGAGCGTTGGGCAGTTTGAGCCTGCTGCTCTCTGAAACCTACCTGGGGATTACTGGGTAAGAGGATTGCCAAGTGGAGGATTTGATTTTATAGAATTAAAACTGTAATTCTTTCCATCCAGAGCGTGCTGCAATGCAACGGTTTCTCCACAGCATTAGTCCCCTTTCCTGCCTTTTTTTCCATTGTAAGAACACCGCTTTAGAATGACAGAACTCATCATAAACCCTGCATTTATTGCTCTTCTAGGTCGGGTTAGTGGTCTTACAAGCAGTAAACGGTGTTTTGTGTACACTTTAATGTGGGAAATATCCCATTTACAGCCAAACTTTATATATCTTTAAAAAATTCCAGCTCACGATGAATTTTGACCTGTAAAAATACATCAGATACTTTAACAAGAAAGACAAAAGTACAAGGCAACTCTGATAGGGGTCAGTGACAAATTTGCTAATACAACTGAGACAAACTTAAGCTTGGTTTATGCTTGACGCATTTACTTTCCACTCATGGATGAAACGCGCTTCACAACTTGCAGCGTTTATGGTTCATCCGGCTTGTTTCTGCGGTGAGCCAATATTCTCCCAAACTGTGGAGGGCAGCATGGAGCTCTACGGCATGCATCCAACACTACATCATAGTAGAAGTAAAAATTACTGTTGTTTACAACATGGCATTCCAGCATTTTTTTAACCGCGTCCTCGTCTTTTCCGACAGTGCGAGCTATTTCTCTCCAAGAATTGTTAACAACATGTTGATCACGGCAAACTTTGAGAGCTGAATCATACAAATGTCTATTTACAAACCTCTGCCATACTAGTTCTTGCCAGTCCGCCATGTTTTTCCACGTCCGACAGTCCGCGTGGTTAGAAAATTTCCTAAGTGCGCGGTGCGGAAAGTTTGGGCTGTGCGGAGGTGCGGTTGAGGGGCGTGGTTGTTAAAATGACGCAATTTTGCCGCGCGGAGCCATGCGAACCTCGCGGACACGTCAAGCATAAACCAAGCTTTAGGCATTTCTGTGGCCAAATTCCACTCCTAACTCTGAGTTTTCCAAACAGGAACAGTCCTAGCCCATTTGGTTCCCTGAGCGAACATCCACTCCCCCAGTCCATGCCACCGCTGTTGCGCTCTTGAAAGAAAGTGCATTGGTGTCCTCCAGGCTTATATACTGTTGTGGCGATTTTGTGTTTGTTGTTTCATTTTTGCAAGTTGGTTGGATGCTGTTTCACTTCCAGCAGCTTCAGCAGACCAGCCCACATCCGTCTGCAGCACGCAGTGAAACAAATGCACCTTGCTGCTCCCTTGCCTGCAAATGGGGGATGTGAGTCAATCTAATGTTTTTCCAAAAGATGCACTGCATGACATTGGGGCACCACACTCCCCCCTAAAAAGCGTGTTTATTTATTTATTTAAATTACTAATGTTTCCGTCTCCCTTGTGATACCATCGTGGACCATCGCCCAGGCCGTCCTTAAACCACTACTGTAGTAAAATCACCGGCTCCAACACATTTTCCTGATGTTTTGTGTCTCTTGTCACTGAAATTCCCACTCAGTTACTGACTGAAGGGAATGAACTTGAGTCATCATATTATTTCTGCACCAGTTGGTTAAACTCAAAAACCCAAATTAAGACCACCCCAGCACGTCTTCCATCCCTTTAACTCTTGTCTATCATTTTACCTCTCACTCCTCCACATCCGATTTTCCCGACTTTTCCCCTCCCTCCCCCTGCCTGTCCCTTCCCTGTATGTGGCGATCTGGGTTTGGTGACCCTCAGCCAGAGCGTCGGGTTTGGGTCAAACAGAATTACTCAGGAATGTCCCCCTGCTCAATGGCCGACCCAATGCGTCTCAGCATGGGAGCATTTCCCCTTCATTGACAGCCAGAGGACTTTGATTTTGGAGGAGGCAGGGACAGGGAAAGCTCCTTTCCAGACAACTTTCCCATATAATTCCCACAGTCTCTGCAGTTTTCATGGGCACCGTGGAGCCGTAAGCCAGTTTAATGATGTGAGGCGCATCTCAGCTTGTTGAGACACTTTGCTTCTGTGACTGCAGGCCATCCAGCTCAATTAAATGTGCTTTGAATGCATTCCTCCCCCATCGTGGTCTGCATTTATCTTCCCTGACAAACTGCATGGGACCTCTGAAAACTTTCAGTTCTGCAGATCTCTGGGATTATTTTTACAAACA